TTCTCCCCTCTTCCCTCTTTTTCTCTATTTCTCTCATCCATCCTTCCCCTTCTCCTCCTTCCTGCAGTATTTCCTTCATTCTTTCCCACCAGTTTCCCTTCCCCCCTTCTCCCCCACATTCTCCTATCACATGCTCCCATGTTTCATTTTCTATCCCGCATAACCTACACCTTCTTTTCCCCTCTTCTTCCCAGTATCTCGCCCCCCTCATCTCATTGTTCATTCTGAACCTGATTATCCTTCTCCATCTACTTTCCCCCCATCCCTTTCTCAGGTATTCCGGTAAACCCTCCTCCTTCCATTCCCCATACCATCTATTATATCTCGACTCTCTTATCCTCTCCCACCTTTCCTCCTTCTGCCTTTCCCTGTCTTTCTGTTCCCACCCCTCATATACTTCCTCTCCTCTTCCCCTTTTTTCCTCCATCTCTTTCCCCTCTATTCCTCTTTCTTCCCAGAATTTCCCCCTCTCTTCCTCCCACATCGTTCTTTCCTTTCCTCCCCTTATCCTCTCTTTCATATCCTCAAAACATTTCCTCGCTAAACTTCCTCCCCTCCCTTCCTCCAACTTCCTCTCATACCCTACCGCCCTCCTTCCTGCCCTTATCCTAAATTTGTCTTTTCCTATCTCCTCTCTTACCATATACCCCGGCGTGCACCAGTCTACTCCTAACGTCCACCTAATCCATCGCTCCTGCATTGCCTCCACCTCTCTCCTCTCCTTCCATCCCCATATTTCCGCCCCATATTCCAACACCGTCCCCACCAACCTTTCCATTAGCCATACTCTTTTCATCCAGTCTCCTGCAAACCTTCTCTTTCCCATTCCCCACACCTGTCTTATCACCGCTCCTGCTTTCCTAACTCTGTTCTTTACCTGCGCCTCCTGCCCCCCGTTCCTCTGTAGCTTATACCCTAAATATGTGAATTCTTTCACTTCCTCTAACCTTTTTCCTTTCCATCTCCACTCCACTCTCTTCATTCTTCCTCCTCCCTTTTTAAACCTCATTACCTTTGTCTTATCCACATTCACCTCTAACCTTTTCTTGTCCATATAACTTTCCATTTTCCCCAACATATGTATCATCCCTTCTTCATCCTCCGCCAACAGTACCATATCATCTGCGTACGCCAAACAATGCACCTTTTCCCCTCCCAGTTTCACCCCCCCCCCAACCTCCTTTTCTTAGCACTTCCTCTATATCCGCTATCAGCAAACTGAATAAGTGCGGACTCATTGGGCAACCTTGCCTCACCCCCCTTGCCGTCCAAAAATTTCCTCCCTCCTCCTTCCCCACTCTTACCTTACTCCTCGTTTCCCTGTACACCTCTTCTATCCTACTCCTTAATCCCTCCCTCACTCCCCTCCTCTTCATTGCCTCCATTAACACCTCCCTATCTACCGAATCAAACGCCGCCTTCAGGTCCATAAATGCCGCGACTACCTTTCCCCCCTTCTTGTTTACCCTCTTATTCACCAGATAGTTCAACACATAGATACTATCCATCACCCCCATTCCCTTCCTAAAACCTGTCTGACTCTCCGGTATCATATTCTTCCCTCCATTTCTTCCTTTAACCTTTCAGTTAAAATCCCCACGTATATCTTGTATAGCGTTGGCATCAATGTTACTCCTCTATAGTTTTCCACTTTATTCCCCGTTCCCTTTTTCAACAGTGGCACTATTATCCCTTCTTTCCACCTCTCCGGCCATCCTTCTCCTCTCCATACTCTGTTGCACATTTCCCATACCCACTCTTCTACCCTCTCCCCTCCATATTTCCATACCTCACTTGGTACCCCATCCTCCCCCGCTGCTTTTCCTTTCTTCAGTTTTCCCAGCATCCTCTTCACTTCCTCCCTGCTTATCTCCTGCTCCTCATCCCTCTCCCTTTTTTCTTTCCTCCTCTTACCACTTTTACCTCTATCCCTCCCAATAAATCCATAAAGTATTCCTTCCATTCCTCCGCCTTTATCTCCTCATTCACCCCTTCTCTCTTTTTCCTTTCCCTGTTAATAATCTTCCATACCTCTCCTTCCGTTCTTGCCTCTATCGCCTCCTTGTACCATCTTAGCCTCTCCTCCTCCCTTTTCTCTTTACACATTAGCTTATATTCCGCCCTTACTTTTCTATATCCTTCTCCTCCTCCTCCTTTTTTCCTCCATTCCCTTAACTTTTTCCTCACTTCTTTCCTCTTCTCCTCACATTCCTCGTCCCACCACCCTTTCCTTTTCCCTTCTCCACTCTCTTTTTCTCCTTCTCTCAATTCCTCTTCTATTCTTCCTATTTTTTCCTCTAGCTCCTCTTCAATCCCCTCCTTCCACCCCTCTCCCCACTCTATTTCCTCTCTTATTCTTTCTCCTCCCCTCTTTGTCCATCTCCCTCTTTTTCTTATTCCTTTTCCCTCCCCCCTTTTTCCCTTTTCAGCCCCTCCTCTTCTTTCTAGCGTTACAATCAATGGGTGATGGTCCGATTCTATGTTATCTCCCACCTCCATTCTCTTTATCCTTTCCTTTACTCTATCCTCTCCCACCACGTAATCTATTACCGATTCCCCTCTTCCTCCTGTATATGTGTACTCCCCCTTCCTATCCCCTCTTATCCCTCCGTTAAAAATTCCCCATCCCACCTCTTCCAACTCCTTTATCAACTTCTTCCCTTCCTCATTAACTTTCTTGTCCTTTGATCTTCTTTCTTCTTCCTCCTCCCCTCCTATCACCCCCCCCTTTCTACCTGTCCTTGCGTTGAAATCTCCTCCCACAATCGTCCATTTATTTTCTTCTTTCTCTTCCATCCATTCCTTCATTTCCTCCAATTTCCTTTCCATGTCCCCGTTGATGTATACGCCTATTACCCTCCACTTCTCTCTTCCTACTTCTAAATCCGCCATCATTATTCCCTCCGCCTTTTCTCCCATTCCTGATACTTTTATCTTTCCCCTCTCCTCCCTTACCCCCATGATCATTCCCCCCATCGGTCTTCCTTTCTTCTTATATATCCATACATATAATTTTTGTTTTTTTAATTGGTAACGCAAATTTTTTTGTTTTATATAGGTACTTCAAATTAAAGTTTATAAAAAATGCTAAATCTAATACTAATATTCTAATACACATAAAATTTTTGTAGCCATTTGATTTATTTATAAAATATTAGTTAAGGCTTAATTAAACCATATTATAAAATATGACGTCAGAAGCAAGAAATTATATGAAGCTGTTCTTGCAAATTATATCGAAATAAATAAGATTATTCGAGCAATAATATGAATTAATGAAATCCGTCGAATACTTTTTTTACTTCGTAAATCTGCAAGTAGCTGTAAATAATCTTGCTCAATCATGTCCACGTTTACTGAAAATGTAGGACATATGCAAATGAGTTATACGCATATTTATTAACAAATAGGGAGTTTGACGGATTTTACTTATTCATATTATCAAACACAGTAATTACATTCAAAAACTTATTTATTCGATATATTTATATAAAAAAAAAACCTCATGTTATTTCTTGCTTCTGACATCATAATTCAATATAGCTGTAATGAGGGATCAGTAGATGAAACGTACGCAGTAGAAAAAATTGAAACAATTTTGTCTTAAACACAAAATTGTTTCAATTTTTTTACAGGATATTTTATGTATTAATTATTAATAGTATTAATATTATACAAACATTTTGATCTGTTTATTTTTTCAAATAGATAAAGTACTTTTTAAAACAAGCTTCTTAATAAATTGTAATTTAACGTACTTATATTTTTTAAGTTTCTTATTTATGGAATACTGTGATCAAAGAAATAATGTTTATAATTTCTTGTTTAAAATATTTCAAAGTTTAATTTTATATATTATAATATACTTTAATATAATATGTTATATAGATGTAATATATATTAAAAATATATAAATATATATATATATATATATATTCGTAAATACGTATATTGTTTTTATTGCAAGTACCTACATCTGTAAATATAATACAAGATATTTTAGTAATTAAATATTTATGTACAGTGTATATTCGTGTATGGCATATTCTATGTATGTATAGTGATCTACAAACGATGTACATTGGATGTCTTTAATATGTACATATATAATGCACGTATATATATCCATACAATGTGCCTCATTTGTAAATCACTGTACATACATAGAATATCATTTATATACATAGAATATCATCTATAGATGTATATAGATGCAATTTATATACATTGGATATGAAAAAAATATTTAGTGTATATGTAAATTATCTGTCATATACTTTCCACGAATGTACATGGAATGTACCTATCTATACGCATATATATTGTATGGATATACAATGTATAAACAGAACATTAAATTTATATACAAATAGGATATCCAATGTACATTGTTTATACATCACTGTATATACATAGAATAAGTCATATTCACAGACGTATATGGAATACACATACATGAGATGTCCAATAAATATTTATTGTATATGAAGGAAGGTATCTGCTATATATATGTACTTCTCTGTATGTACATACTCGTACACGTGATAACCACGAGTTGCAACGGTCTACGTCTACGTAGCGAAGCCGGCGCCTGCTGTACACGCACACATATATGTATTGTTCAGAGCGTTCGGCGCAGAAATTTAAGCCAATGATTTAATAAAATCAGGGACCCGGACCGTACCGTAACCGAAACCAATAACCGTTCCATACCGTTTGTTTTAGTAGGACCGAAACCGTAAACCGTATTGAAATTCTATTAAATTTATAGCACCGGAACCATAACCGGACCGTTAAATTATTTTTGGTTTACGGTTCTTTTTGGTATTTCATTTCGGTTTTTGCGCAAATGACGGAAATGTCATAATGTTATGCACTACATTTTATGTATCCCGGTTGGTAAATAATTGGCGCGGGAGCTTTGTTGCACTGCTACAGCGTCGTTACTTATCATGCGAAACGTAGTATTGCATCATATGTACTATGTACAACACGTTGTATAAACGCACTGACGTTTCGGCATCAATTGATTTCTCTTCAAATTTATTCTCTTTTATATATAAGTAAGTACTCTTTTACACATCTGTTAATCGAATTTGATTATTCGATTTATATTAACAATATAAGACATTATATTAACAATATAAGAGAAATATTTTACATTGAATGACATTGATACATAACCTCTGTCTTCTACATATTTATCATTGATTTTTATAATTTTATATTAACATTATTAGTATTATATTATCGACTTTATTATTAATTCATAAATTTGTTTCTTGCTGTTGAAATTTTTTAAGGAATTATATTTATTGGATTCAGACAGTTTTCGTGCTTTATTATGGGTAGAAAACATACTAATAAAGCACACAAACATTTCACATATAACGATGTAGAAGATAGTTCACAGTGTGTCATCTGTAAATCTTCATTGAAGGTAAATGATTGATATTACTTTTATATTTTTATTCTTGTTTATATTAAAATTTTTAATATTTTAAAATTTCTTTCTAATCTCATTTTTTATAACTATAAAATTCTAAATATACATATTCTTTAAGGGTAATTATGGGACAAACTTAAAAAAACATTTAATTCGTTACCATGATTTTAAAGAAGAATATTTCACTGATATTTCTTTGAATAAAAAAGAAACGGGAAAGCATCGAAAAGAAATACAGCCACAAATAGATGAAGTAAATTCTATAAAAGTAAAAATGACAAAAAAAGATCTCGAAAACAATTGCATTGAATTAGTAACAGTTAATGGAAGACCATTTAGTATTTTAAATGACTCTGGTTTTCAAAATATTATAAATCCAATCAAATCGGCAATAGAAGATAAATATAAACAGAAAATTTCTATTTCGTCAGAATCAATACAAAGAAAAGTTAATGAAGAAGCTGATAAAATAAAAAGGAAATATCTGAGGATATAAAAAACATTCTGATTTCAATAAAAGTGGACGCTGTCACTCGATTAGACAGATCCTTTTTAGGTATCAATATACAATATATTAAAGATACAAAAATTGTATTAAGAACATTAGCATTAAAAGAATTAAAAGAAAAACATACAGGTAATACTTTTTTTATATTTATTTTATATATTTAAATTCTAACACGTTTTATAATTAATATAATATTAATAATCTGCAGGCAAATATTTAAGAATGATTATTAGAAATGTTTGTTCTTCTTTTAATATATCATTAGATCAAATATATACCATAACGACTGATAATGGTGCTAATATGCTGAAAGCAGTAAAACTATTAGCTTCAGAATATGAAGACTCTGATATTGAAATAGAAGAAGATCAAAACAAGGATAATGAAAATAATTATAGTGATGATAATACATATTTAGAATCAGAAAAAAATGAAGGAAATAATGAACATGAAACAGATGACGTTTCAAATATTCTTCAAGAAATTGAAACTGAAGATTTAAACTATAATTTCCAAAATAACATTATAACAGGTAAAAAAAACTTTTAAGTAAATTAGGAGTAAATTAAACATTGACCATAACTAGCAATTATTCCATTTTATTAATCATCACTAAAAGATAATATAAAATATATAACTTTTTATAGTATATATGAAATAAAATAAAGAATAGAAGTATGAGTTTTAATTTCTAATTAAAAAAAATATTTACAATTAACAATTAATATTTGATATTGAATATTATAGGAATTAGATGCGCAGCCCATACTTTACAATTGGCAGTTGATGACGCTTTAAAAAGAACAAAAGCTACATTACATCTAATATCAAAAGCTAGAAATTTAGTAAAAAAACTTAGAACACAAACATTTATTTACTTAATAAAAAAACAAAATTTAAAAAACCTGTTATTGATTGTCCAACTCGATGGTGTTCTACATTGGATATGCTTGAACATTTATTATTATTAAAGGATTATTGTGAAAAGCTGGCTGTAACAAAATTTCAGAATTTTATGACATTAAAAGATAATGAATGGACAAAAATCGAAGAAATATGTGCAGCATTGCAACCATCAAAGATTTGCACAAAAAAGCTTCAAGCAGAACAATTAACCTTGAGTGATTTTTTTGGTGTTTGGTATGAAACAAAAATGATGACGGAAACAATACATACTCCTTTCGCTACACTTATTTTGGAACAAATGATATCTAGAGAACAAAAATTATTAAATAATGATGCATTATTATCTGCTGTCTTTCTAGACCCTCGATATAAAATCTTGTTAGATAAAACGCAAATAGAAAAAGCCAGAAACCATTTAAAACACATTTGGACTAAAATTATATCATTAAATAATAATGAATATTTAAATGAAAATTGTGAAAATGAACATTCTTCTTCAAATTCAAGCATGGCAGGCTCTACATGTGATGAATTTGAAAACCTCTTAAAAGTAAAAGAACGACAGTATTTAGCAAATTCAAGTTTATCATCATCCAAAGAATCAGATTTGCATCTTTTACGTGTTGTAACAGAACTTGAATCATATGATGTTGAGCAAAAGAGACTTAATAGAAAAACTAATATTTTACAATTTTGGGAAGAAAAACGAAAAAGTCAACCTGAATTATATAAACTAGCAATGGTTGTTTTGTCTGTTCCTGCAACGCAAGTTAGTGTGGAGCGACTCTTCTCTGGATTAAAATTTATTTTATCTCCTTTAAGAACAAATGTTAACGAACGTATTTTGGAAAATCAATTACTTGTTAGAAGTAATAGGATATTCTTTCGTAAAGAAAAAAGGTTTGTTATTGGTTTTTATTTAATCTGTTCTATATATTTTATTTTTTTTAAAAAGGCACATAAATTGAATCTTGAAATTAATTATTGTCTGTCTCTTTTTATAACATTAGAACAAACCATTCTAGCGATGGCGATAAAAACGAACAGAATTCCGACTATGAAAACGGACCGCTCATGAAACGTTCCAGAATTACAAAGAATTAACTTGACGGAGTCGATCGGCCAATCTCCGCATCGAGTAGCTTGTATCAGATTCTTATTTGTACGTGTACGCTTGTATGTGTGCGCGTGTGTGTATCCCGTAGTCGTTCTTTTCTCTCCTACCGTCTTATATATTAACTCATCTCCGCCCAGCTGATATTTAGGGACGTCGTCTTTTGCCTTGCGACGCGTTAACGATGTTCGCGTATATTTTTTTTAAAGAGAAAAGCCTGTGTTAATGTATTTAAATTTAAATTTAAATAGATGTATAAATAATAAATATATTTTCATTTTGATATAAAGTGTTGTTTATTTATATGTATATCATAAGATTTATAATTTTTAAAATAATATAATTAAAAAATTAATTTAATTAGAAATTAACTTAAACAGAAATTAATTTAGTTTAAAAAAATAATAATTTAAAAACCGGAACCGTAACCGAAAAAAACAGTAATTTAAACGGTTTCGGTTTCCTTTATTTATCAAGAAACCGAAACTGGAACCGGAACAGTTATTAAATATTTTATTAAACCGTAACTGAAACCGAACCCTTATTTTGTTTCGGTCCGGGTCCCTGAATAAAATTATTGATTATCGTTAACATCTTTTATTGTACAATATTGCAAAAAATTATTTTATTACAGTATTATACCCAGCAAATACCAAGTTACAGTTATATAATTGTTAGTTGTAATTTTCCACTCAACAATATAATTGTTATAATGCACGTATTATATTTTTAAATGGGAAATTACAACTAACAATTATATAGCTGTAACTTGGTGTTTGCTGGGTATATGTATATATATTACAATATATAAATTATAGAATTTGGATTACATGCAATATTTCCGAAATATTAATGTCATGTTGCTACAAGTGTGCTGGAATTTTGTGCACCTATATCTCTGCAATGTCTTTATAATGTTGCATTGCAACCTGCAACATTGCAACGTTTGCTGCATAATATGTATTATTAACTGCATTATATTCATAATTCACATTATTGTGTTTCTATTATGTATGTCAATATGGTTTGCTACATACTTACATTACATTATACATTAATATTCGAGAATTATTTGAGATTGTTATGCTTACCTGTTATGATAGATTTTAAATATCGTTCTCGTTCTTTAAGTTTGTTAGTTTCTGTTTCGTATTGCGACAATGTTAATATTGCTTCAATCATTTCTCTCGCCTCCGTTTCCTCTTTGCAATTGCAGAGAGCACCAATACATAAAGCATAAAGTGTTTTTAATATTTTTGTACAACTTTTCAATAAGCGTGTATACTTTTTTATAAAGTGCGCTCTGTCAATACGTATACAACAATGAGGAATATTATTTTTACATTTGTTTGCATAATCGTAAATATTAAAACATCCATCAAATGTTCTCGCTGCCGCATGAAGAAATGCGAAAGAATAGTCTACGCATATCTGTTTAGGTATTTTTAGTGATAACCATTCATTGAGCCAATGCTGTATGCTTGCAACCGAATGTTGTTCTGTTATCATTTGTGCAATAGAAAATTGTCCTTTTTCGACATTTATAACAATTAAATAAAATAAAATATAGGCCGTTTTTTGCCATCGCACATCATAATTTCTTTAAATCGTGCTCCAGTTGCATCAATATAAATTTCCAGATTGTTCTTATATTTGGAAAAAAGTTTTTTATAAATCTGTACTTGCAGGTTTACTTAGTTATATTATTCACAAATAGACTTATATAATAAATAAAATATATACATTTTTATACTTATTTCGCGAGCAAAAAATCGAAACCCGGATATCTCGAAAGCAAATAATTCGGGAAACATTCTGACGCCATTATTATGCGAGCAACTAATTACTTTGAGGCACTTTACTCTTGTAACTTGGACCGCGCGGATCGTTTTTAGCCGGTTTTCTACACTTATTTCGCGAGCAAAAAAATCGAAAACCTAATGTCTTGAGAGCGAATAATTCGAGAAACATTTTTATGCCATAATTATGCGAGCAATTAATTACTTTAAGGCACTTTATTCTTGAACGTCCTATTTTATTCTTGATTATTTTTAAAAGTTGGAGCAAAAAAATTATTTTCTAAAGTAAAAAATAGCAAAAAAATAGCAAAAATTTTACTATTATTAATCTTTTGCTTTTATTTATGTAAATGCTATTTTTTACAATGGCTAAGATAGCTTAATCTTAAGCTATCTAGCCCTCTAATTTTTAAAAAATTGGAGCAAAAAAATTATTTCCTGAAACAAAAAATAGCAAAAAATTTTAGTATTATTAATCTTTTACTTTTATTTATATAAATGCTATTTTTTACAATGGCTTAGATAGTTTAATCTTAAGCTATCTAGCCTTCTGTAATTTTTAAAAAATTGGAGCAAAAAAATTATTTCTTGAAGCAAAAAATAGCAAATAATTAGCAAATAATTTTCATATAAGATTCATTTTGTTCTGATAATTTGGCTCAGACAGTTTAATATACCTCAATAACGAGTTAAATAAGCTACATGCCGATCAGAAAAATATTATACAATATGTACGAAACCAAACCAGCATAATTCTTAAGTCTCTAACTAGTAGCGAAAATGTAATCAATATAACTTCGAATTCAATGAATCAAATAAATAGCCAATTCAATAGTCTTAAAAATCTATCTCAAATTAATGAGGCGAATATTTGGATTGACGAATCGTTACTAGATTTAGACAAGATATTAAGAAGGCTGATTAGCGAAATTTGAAAAGCAGAAGAATTAATAATTGACGGAAGACACGGAACCGTTAAGCCTTACGTCTTATTACCTAAAGAACTTTTTAATACTCTGAGACAACATAAGCATATAGATAATTTCCCAGTACCGTTGGAAGAAATATATTATACTACTCTTATAGATATAAGTGAAATATCAATAGTGTTAACCGAGAAAAACTGCT